CCAATGTCTATGAAACTAGAAACTAGAAACTATGAAATCTATGAAATTATGTCATAAAGAAGAGGGAAAGCAACTTTTCTCCCTTGCAACAGATATGTGAAATAATGGATTTAAACTGCAGCAAAGTAGATTTAGATCAGACATCATCAGGCAAGCAGTCGTTCTGTTAGAAGAGCAGGGCAGGGCAACAGGCTGCCCAGAGAAACTGTGGACTCTCCTTCATTGGAGGAAGTGGATGGGCGCTGGACAGGAAGCACTTAGGACCAGCATTACTCTGTTCCTGCTTTTGAGCAAGGGTAGGACCAGGTGACTCTTGAGGTCCCTACCACGCCTACCGTTCCAGAAGTGCATTGGCTCGTGACAACCTCTCTGGCATGCCCAGCTCACAGCAAGTCACAGTCTAAGTAAACAAGAAGGGGCCCTGAGATACCCAAGCAAATGTGCAAGTGCTTGCAGAGGAAAAACATTACCTCAAAATGAGGTGAAAATCCCCACCTGGGCAGGTAGGGTTGATGATTCCAGATGTGCTATTACTCCACAGCTGGCACTGAGATTTCTGAATCGGCAATTGCCTCTTTGAGCTAACCTGGCTGCTTCCTAAGAACACATGGGGCTCTGTTATTCTAAACCAGGGTGGACAATTATTTGGACCCATGGGCCACTTATGGAGTTTTGATGAGTGGTCATGGGCCGGCTCAGCAGCCCCCACCCTCCACCATGCAACGACTCACCAAAACTCTCTAAATGGCTTTGTTCCGCACTCGGCCTGGCGTCTGGGATGGGGCCGCAGGCAGGTGGGGAGCAGCATCTGGGAGCAGGATGGGCAGGCAGGGTTGGGGCTGGGATTGCGGGGCAGTGACAGTGTGGGGCACAGGGCAGAGCCATGATTTACTGCCCACACACACACACCCATGCATGCACTGGTTCTGTGGGTAAGGGTGTGCATGGAGCAGTTTGCAGCTCTGCCACCGCCCTGGCCGTATGTTGTCACTGCCCAGTGATCCCAGGGTCTTCATGGAGACTGGCTGGGACCTGTGCAGGCAGGCAGATGGGATGGGGCCAGGTCCAGGATCTTGGGGTGGTGACAGCATGGGGCTGGGGCCCAGGACAGAGCTGCAATCCACTCCTTGCATGCCCCTGCCCATGGAACCCATGTCCATTGCAGGGATCATGACTCTGGCCCAGGCCTGTCCCAGGGCCTTCACTGTCACCACCCTGTAATCTCAGCTTTGCCTACCCATCCTGCTCTCAAACACTGCTCCCTGCCTGCCTGCGGCCCCATCCCAGCCATCAGGCTATGCACCCTGCTCACGGGGTCCCACCTCCTGCAGTGGGTGCAGGGCGAATGGGCTGGGGTGCCCAGGCAGCAGGGCCAGGTTTGGTGCCAGTGGCAGCCAGGAGGAGCCACCAGGGCTGCCAGGAAGTGAGTCTGGTTGCTGCTTCTTTCCAGCCCCAGTGTACACTCAGGGGCAGGCCTGAAGTACCTGCCACAGGACAGACAAAATCCTTCTGCGGGCTACTCTATTTTGCCCACCTCTGTTATAAAGTGGCTTCTGGCTTGCATTGTATATGCACCTGTATCTTTTCCCTTGACATGTCTGCTTCCTATTAGCATATGTCTTAATCCAGGATAGCTCTCTCCGTTTTATCCAGGCTCAGATTGGAGCAAGCAGAAAGGATATAAATAGGTTTGGGTAATTCCTGCAACATAAGCCACAGCACCTCTCTCACTTACTTGGATACGGTTGACCAGCATTGGGTCAGCCTTGGGAACAACCACTTTTCCCTGCTGTAAGATGTAGTAGTATCAGGCAAACAGAGCTATCTCACAGTGCAGGGACAATGGTGTTTTTCAGGGCGGGAAAGGCATCCCATGCCTCTGGCTGGGGCTCAGATTGTAATGTAGCAGCTGCTGATGTGTAATGGCTGATCCTCCTTTATTTTGCGTTAGACTCTCCAGCAACTGCGTGGGAGACACTGGATCAGTTGCCTTGGCCGAAGCTCTGAAAGTGAATCACAGTCTTACAACCCTCAAGTAAGTCTCTGCTAATGAGCATTACGCCCACTGCCCTTTGCTGTTAGGTGGGTGATATAGGATGCTCCACTCAGTTCTTTGAAGAGCAGCTTGATGCAGTGGAGGATATTTTAGGGATTGCCACCTCTCTTCTTTTTGTCTCGTCTCCTGACCCAAATCCCTGGAAGTAGTAGAGAACTTTGAGAGGAAGAGGCCAAGGAGCCTTTGGATTTAATCCCTGTTGAAGAACTGCAGGTCTGAATGGGACTGTGCTGGGTATGGGGCTTTCATGTCTGTCACACAGCAGCATTCCCCACCCCCACTTTGTTGTAGAGGCTTTTCTAGGGGACCTCTCTGTCATAGAAGGTTGGTGACTTTTGAAGAGAATGGCATCAGGAAGATCAAACAACAGCATATGCTACTGATGGCTAGCAATCCTGGGAGCTAAGTAATGGCACTGGGAGCCTACATGTTCCCAGTTGCAGTCCCGCCCAGGGTAATTCCTGGGTAGATGGTTTAGTGATGTATGTGAAATGAGTTAGGGTCCTGGGCAGGTGCCTACATCACATTGACCCTTGTGGGTCACCTCCACAGGAGAGGCAAGAACTGAAAGGATCTACAGACTGAGCTCTGGCCCTCCTGATCAGGACAGGGCGTGGGAGCTGGGCCACAGGGTACAGCAAGCGTTGCTGTTGCCTGTGTTCCCCTTGGAGTGTGGTTAACAAAACCCAGCGGTTTGTCTCTGATCAGTGTGCCCCTCTGGTTCCCTTGTGAACCCATAACCCGTTCCTGCTTTACCAGCCTGGGTCCCACAGGCTTCATTGCTTTCTGGCTCTGTGGCCTTTGCCCAGTGGAAGGGGTTGGCTATTCAGCTGGTGTGGCCTCCCACCCCTCCAGGATTTCCAACAGACTTGTACTGTTACTAACAATCAGTCCCCTCCTAAACACAGACCCTTCAGGCCTATCTAATGGTGCACTGAGGTGGTCTCCCACCCTGCCATTCCTGTTGTAACTCGTTGTTTTCTCTGCTTGTGTGTTAGTCTCCAAAGCAATTCCATCAGTAACACTGGGGTCACTGCACTGACGGGAGCTCTCTGCTCTAACCAAGGCCTCATCAGCTTGAAGTAAGTCCTGATTCCCCCTCTCATACCTCTTCCTTCCACTCCCCTGCCAAGGTTCTGATTTTCTTTCTAATTAATACATTAGGCAGCAATCTGGCCCTCTGCCCAGAGCTGCAATGTGGTAATAGGACCTGAATCACATCACTGGGCTCAGCCCCTTCGTTACCTGGATGGCTGCCCTCAAGTTTCTGCACTGGTTGCAGCGGGTGTCCTGGGCATGGGAGCAGCTTCCTGGGTTCTTTATATAGTTGTGCTTCTCCTCTATCTAACTTCTTTTATTTTTCCCTTGGGAAGTGCATCAGCCTGGCTGTGCTTCTACACTCATGTTCCCAGCAGCCCAATCATTACAGCGCAAAGAAGGTGAATGCAAAACAAACAAATAAATAAATAAATGAAAGCTTCAAACATGCACAATCTGCAGCTGCAAAATTGGGTGATTAGAAGTAGAAATTGCCAGCAGTAGGTCACTGGGTCCAATGCAAAAGCGTCAGCTCACAGGCAGGATCTGAGGGAGATGTCTATGCTTCTATTTTGGGGCAAGTTGAAGGCCCATCCTCAGCTACCCCAAGCCACATGAAGATGCCCCTCCCAGTCTATATGACTTTTCTTTGGCAGCATATAATAAACGAGGAGAGAGAAGCTGTGGGCAAACTGATTCTTAGAACAGGAAGTTCAAATGGAGCCTTTCTAGGAATCATGGTCACTGCTTATCTCCCTTTCTGTGCTTGGTTGTAAATATGGGCAGGAGAGACAGGAAGTGCAGTACAGAAGAGCCAGTTGTGCTCACATGTTTCAGTGCCTGGGTAAATGTTTAACAAGCTCAGGGATGGCAGGGGGCAAGCTCAGACAGGGGCCCCGATGCCCAGGAGAGCTCTGGAGGTGGAATAAGCTAAGCTAGTAGGTTTGTCATGATGCTTTTCAGGCTACATGGCAGGTTTGGAGGCAAGACTAAGTAGCAGTGTAGATACACCCTGAAAGCCAGATGATACACCCTGAAACACCTGATGGCTGTTCAGCAAAATGAGTCTGGCATGTCTTAATCCATTTCATACTAGCCAGAAACCATCAATATATTTGGTGCTGACCCCCTTGTTTCAACTGAGAGGCCAAAGCATGAATATATCTGAGTACTGGTCCAGAGATGTGGTACAGTGATGTCACAGAATAGGAAGGACATTTGCATTACTCTTGTTCTATGGAGAAGTGGAGGGCACCAGTCCAGCAATAAGTTCCCTCCAAAAAAAAAAAAGGTGATGTTTCAGAATGACAAGAAAAAAGCCTTTGACTAAGTTGCCAAATTCTGTAAAATTCCTGTGGTGCTGGGGACAACAGAAAAATATGTGTTTTAGGTAAAATGACATTTTTTAATTATTACATTAATGAAATACAGCTTGATAGGGTGAAACTAGGAATGTTCATGTTCCTGCTGTGGTGTTATAGCTAACTCATAACATGACATCTTCCCCTCTATAGAGAAAAGGCCCTTTTAGGTTTGTCTGATAGCATATGCTCCTGCACAAATTGGACACTAATCCTTAAGATTGTTCATTGAAATTAATTGCTTGGTTATTGCTGTAGAAAGGATATTCAGGACCTCAGGGAGCTGCTTCACAATGGTTAAAGTTCTGCAGAGCCAATCCAAGTAGACTGCAAGTGCCAGAAGCTTACCATTTGTTCTGAAATGGATATCTAACAGAAGAAGGGTGATTTCATCAGCAGTCTACAAAGGCCCTTGCTAAGTTCCTAATGGTCATTCAACTTTAAATGGCAGGAATAAAAACAAAGTGCAGTGGACTTGAGGGGTTAAGACCAAAACAAACAGTGAGAATGTATATGTGTGCTGTCTGCCAGCACCTCTGAGAGCATGCCTTGGCTAATTCCAGGTAACTCAGCCCACAAACAACAGGCAACATACCAAATGTTGTAATACAGAATACTGTAAACTGTTACAGGTTCTGAGGTGCCTTTGAAAGGCTGAGGTGTTCTGTGGGCAGGGCAGCCGTGCAGCATGCTGAGATAGGCGCAGCTCGAGGCAGCAGGGGAACATACTTCTGAGTGTCTCCTACATCTGCTTTTCCAGATGCAGAATGTATTTCTCCAGCCTGGGCCCTGGTCATGCCCCATTCTCCCCAGCTGCTCCCCTTTCAGGAGAGACAGCAGCTCTGACCCTGCTGTCGTCACCCGTGCCTTGTGCCTTGCACACTGGGATGAAAAGCAGAACAGTTTGAAATCTCCTCTCTGCCTGTCCCTTCACTACACTACTCAGCCATGGAGACAGAATAGAAATCCAGGCCTATTTTGAACAGTCTCTGCCCAGAGCAGAGACCCTAAAGCAATGAGCAGGAATGTAAGCAGAGGCATAAATAATAGCTTTTTTTTCCTTTGCACCTTGGGAAGGGATCTGGGCAGGAGAAGGGGATTTGTTCCAACACCTGAGGGTGGGGTGGGGGGAGGAGAGGGTGACAAAAGGGAGCAAGTGTTGTGGTTGGGTCTGGGTCTGCAGAACCTGCTTCACCATGGCTGGGACTAGCTCTGCCCATCCTGCCTGGTTGCACCTGGGGCTGAGGTTGGCTCCATGTCCCTTCCCTGGCTGCTGCTGCCAGGGCTCCCCAGGGGCCACCATTCCTTTCAGTTGGTGCCCAGTGTTGGTGTTCCCCCTCCCTTCAGTTATGTTACTGGGCATAGAAAAGGAAAGAAAAATAGCCTTTGACTGAACAGGGAATGCCAAACCTGACTCCTCATTTGCGGCTGCACCCCGTGGATAGGATAAAACAATGGCATTGTAGTATTTTCAAGAACACGCTGGGTACAGGCAGGCTGTCTGTCATGCATGTTCGTTTCATTCCCAGAGTGGGATGGGGATCTACCTGCAGGTGTTTCTCCTGACATGGGGAGCAGCCAGGCATGGGGTGGGCACTGCCTTGCCGTGGACCATAAGGCTATTAGGGCTGATGATTCTTTTAGCTGGTGTTCATCATCCCAGCATGCACTGTGCTTCTGCCTTACCGGCCAAGCTTCGTCTAGGGGCCTTTTTGCCTCTACAAAGAGCAAAGGTCCTCGGCCAAGAATAGGCAGGGGTGTGGGGTGTTGAGGCATGACCTAGCAGGGTGAATGAAGAAGAAATGTAGAAACACCTCTGTGACCTCAGCAGCTGCTCCCCACTGAGCACTCCCCTTGCTGTCATGTCACCAGCCCCTCTGGCATTAATCCCCCATGCTGCCCCAAGGGCCAGTCCCAGCCAGCTGGTTTGCCCTGTTTGCCCTGAAGGACAGGATGGGTCTGGCAGTGAGTGTGGATTGTGCCTATTCCTTCCCCTGGAGGGAAACATCCCCTGTGACCTCTTTTTTTTCTAGTCTCCGGGAGAATTCCATCAGCAAAGAGGGAGCACCGGAGATAGCCAGCGCCCTGCGGACCAACTGCACCCTGAGGAACCTGGAGTAAGACCCTTGCTTTGAAGGATGAGTCCTGGGAATCATCTCCCACAGCTCCTTCAGGAGGGTTCAGGCAGGAGAGCCCCCCAGCGCCAAGGACAGCTGCCTTGCAAGAGCTGTCTCTAGGCAGGAGGGAAGGGCCCTGGTTCTTGGGATGCAGCTCAAACACCTGCATCTCTGGGAGCAATTGGGTGCATGGAGGTGGAGTATCAGGGAAGCCTCTTTGCCACTGTGGGACGGGGAGGAGAGTCTGCAGGAAACACTCGCTTGAGCAAAGGGAATATGTACCAGGAGCAATCCTGTGATGGCTTCAGTGTGCCTGAGACAGCTGAGATGAGCTCTTGGGTGGGCTGTTTCCACTCCAGTATGTGAGGGTCACTTTATCCACTTATAGGGAAGAGGACAGACCCTAGAACAGCATCATTACACCTCCCATCCTTTCTGTGGAAGCTCATTCAGCTCAGCGCTTCCTGGCTGTGCTTTTGAATGGTTGTGGCTTGTTAGGGAGGAGTCAGGGGCATGAGAGCTCTCCCTCACAGCACCATATCCTTGGAGATCTCCAGGGCCTTCATTAGTTTATGGTGACTGAGGCTGCATCTCTGAACAGTCCTGGAGGGGTGTGCAGGTCTAAACACAAGAAAAGAGGTTGGGGGGATCCAGCTGACATGGGGGCTAGAGGCTCTAGGGCACTGCAGTGGGCATGAACTCTCAGAGGCAGCCTCAATCCAAGAGGTGCTACAACAGTTCTGGCAGCTCAAGCCCCTGGTGTTTCCATGGGGTGTGTTCCAGCCTGAGGGCTTAGTGATTTGGCACCAACGTAACGTGTACTTGGTTTAACCATGTGATGACTTGGAGTGCCATGAAATCATAATGTCACATAAAGCACTAAGCAATGCCTTGCCATGGAGTGAAGCATATTCCTGATCCCAGCCAGTGACTAAAAAATGCCCTGAAGCAAGGGGACGAGCCCTTGAGTTAGCTCAATATATGTCAACATAGATGCTCATGTAAACACTTTGTTCCATTTTGAACCCTGGAGCTGTTTGAAGGGAGGTCCACAGGACAAGTGTATGTCATATTGTAAAGCACTGAGCAGGCCCTTGGATCTGTTTGTAGTTCTCTGCCATTTAGTTTCATCTTGCTGTCTCTTCCCTCTCCCATGTGCTCACCTCTGCTCTTGCTCTGTGGCTGGTGTAGTGGATCACTGTGTGTTTTAACACTCATTTCTCTGTACTTTGCCTCTAGCTTAGCAGCAAATCTGTTGCATGACGAAGGAGTCAAGGCCATTGCACAGGCGATGAAAGAGAACAAGGCTCTGACATCACTGCAGTGAGTTCCACCTTGACCTTGATTAATGTTCATCTCCCGGTTTTTAATTCCTTTCTATGTCCACAAAGTAAATGAACAATCCCTGCCAGGGCCTCTGCTCCTTCAGGGGGAAAGGGGCAGTGTTTCCAGCTTCATAGGCAAAATTCTAGTTTCATGGAGAGCTGTGCAGCGTCTGTCTCTAGTTTATAACTCAGATCCAGGCCAGGCTCACAGGGAGTGAGAGCTATTTGTGATGGCTTTTCAGTGGCATGTGTGAATCTGGTTTGTGAACAGGGGCTTGTACCCCAGGAATCTGTTCCCTTGATGGTGGGTTCAGCATGCCAAATCCTGCTTGGGTGCACCCTGAGCTCCTCTCACTCCTCAAGCCTGTTCTCCAGCTTTGAGCCTAGGCTTGCAAGCAGGGCAGCTGGACTGCCAACCCTCCTGTGGCTGAACACGAGAGTCACTCCCCAGCCTGCTCTGACTGGCAACTTTTACCAGTCCTTCATGCCTATTACTTTTAAAAGCTAGATAGACATATAGGCAATGATTTTCCTTCTCTTTTAGTAATTGCTTGTCAATTCTGACCCTCTGGCTAGTGACAGCAGTGTTCACAAGCCTGAGAGGAAGTGCTTTTCAGAATGAACATCACCTGCTACCATCATGCTGCCACCTCGGGTGCTTCATGGTACCTATGAATGTGCTGCACCGCAGTTCTGGGGAGGTGGCACAGGAGAATCCCGGAGTTAATGAGAAGGGCAGAAGGGATGTCTTTTGGCAGAATGCAGTTTCCTGTGTTTAAATCTCTTTGCAATACCTGGCTGAGATGCATCCCCATATGCCTGTTGTCTCTCTCTGGAACACATACCCTTGTCCCATGGGGGAAAGAATTCACTTTGCATTAACACCAAGGGAACAGAATTACATGATGTAAAGCCTCAGAATAGCAGGAGCTGGGTCATGGCAACCCAGGAGGTCTCTTCTCCCCTACATCCCCATGCCTTCATGTCTGTTTCTTTTCTTACAGCCTGCAGTGGAATTTCATCCAGGCAAGGGCTGCCGGAGCATTGGCTCAAGCCCTACAGTCCAACAAAAGCTTGACTAGCCTAGAGTAAGTGCTGGCTTCAGCAGAAGTCATCTGTGTCTCAGGCTCCTTCTGAGCCCAAGGGCTCTCTGGGGGGGTGGGGGGTGTCTTGTACAGGAGTCCTCTTGTGTACTTGAGCAGAGTTTTGAGGTAGTGGTGATGGAGCAGGCAGGACCAGCCTCCTCCCTCCACACTTCCCTAGTGCCCTATGGTCTGCAGGTCCTGAAACACATGCCCACTGCCTCCCTCAGTGCCAAGGTCTTCCTTGGCTTACTGACTGCCTGGCAGGGGAGTGTCCAGGTGCTTGGGTTGAACAGTGGGTTGGGGAAGGAAGAGGTCAAGAGGGGAGGGGGCAAGTGAATGACCATCCGTCTCCTGTGGACTCCAGCAGCTAGTGAGGGAGTTTTCCTCTGGGGTTTGTGCATCACCCCACTGCAAGGGGCTCTGTTCAGTATAGGAGCATGTCCCTGTTTTTTTGTCACTGGCTAGGGTAAAGCAACAGGGACACCCTGTTGCCATCTCCACAAGCTAGTGGGTCTCCAGCCCCTTCTTTTACAAACCCCTTCATGGTTCCAGCAGCCCATGGGTTGTAGCATAACATTGGTTTGTCCCCACCTGCGGCCCCTGCACTGCCCTTCTGCTCAAGAAAGCACCAAAAAGGGGTTTGCAGCTCAGACCACAGCTGGGCCATCACTGCCTTAAGCCCCATGGCTCTTGCTTACACGTAGTCAGAATCCTGGAGTGCTCCCTTTGCTGGCCCTTGGGCCTGTTCTGTACTTTGGCTTGGCATATGCTCCCTCGCTGTAGGTGACAGGAGGCGAGAGGAACAGATGGCACCTTGCTGTGGAGCTAACCAGTTTGGAACTGGGTCATTTTAGCAGCTGGAGGGTTCCACTGTACTTAGGCTGGGAGGTGGGGATCCTGCTGCTAGCAGCACCCCTCCCCTTGTTCCCATGTACAAACATTATTTAGCTGTCAGTGCATCTAAACTGTGTGCACCCAGTGCCACTTTCCCAAGGGCAGGTTGGGGTGCATGACAGGGACATGACATCTTTTCAACATGTGGTGGATGCGGTGCAGGAGTGAGTGGGAGAGGCCTGTTTCATGGCTCTGCTGTCTGTTATTATCCAGCATGGGACAGACATATCTTAAGCCACTGCTCATTGTGTCACGCTGGATGTAGGATCAAGCACTGCTCCTCAGTCCCCTGACAGAGCCTTTTTCCCTTGCATGTGTTCCAGGGTGGTAAGGCCATATATAGCATGAGCTGATACCTCTTTGTTTCAGCCTGCAGGAGAACGCAATTGGAGATGAAGGAATGATTGCCCTTGCCACTGCTCTGAAGGTGAACACAACCCTTACAGCGCTCTAGTAAGTGCCCATGCTGCATGTGAAGAGTACAGGCAGGAATAAGTTGTGCATGTGACCTTTATACTGGTGCACAGAAGTGAGGTTGCTGGCCCTGCTTGCCCTGCTGGGGCTGAGATAGCTCAAGCACCCAGATTTCTTTACTCCAGTGGTTCCCAAACTCTGACTGATTGTGCACCACCAATTTAAAATGATACAACCGTAAGTACCACCAGCAAATTGTTCAGTTCAACCTTAAGTTCCACCAGGAAATTTTTGTCATATAAAGTAATTATAATTAAACAATGCGTACCACTAACAGGCTGTGTGCATACCACTGGTAGTACCCATACCACAGATTGGGAACTGCTGCTTTACTCCATGGGACCCACAAATTTCAATATTTGGACTTCTGGAGGACTTGGTAGTTCGGTGGGTGCACAACGAACACTTGTGGGAGTTGTCAGATTAGCTAGTGGCTGTGGGGCTTGTAGGACCAGAGGAAGGCTGGTCTGCTGTCTGGGGAGGCCGGCGTGTAGAGAGACATTGGTGTGACCCTCCTGGGGGACTCTGCTTGACCCTTCTGCTCAAGAAAGCACAAAAGTGACAATAGTCAGTGTACTAAGGAAAGAAGGGAGAAGTGGCTGTGGGGACTGGGAGGGAAGTGGGAGATGCGCTATGGGATTGTGAATGATTCAAGAAAGCTAATGAGAAGTTCTGGGAGACCTGTGTGCTGGGTTTTCAGAGCCAGAGTGAGGCCCAAGAATGTGGGAGCATAAAGCCTCATTTCTGTCCTTAGCTGTGACTGCCCTGGTGATATGCACTTGGTAATAGTCTGCCCAGCCTGGTACTGCATGGACGCCAGGGCTCCTCTAGGCAGCTCGGTCATTGGAAACAAGTCACTTTGCACTAAGGGACATTTTCAGTTAACTACCATGCTCTGATTCAGTGCAGGGTCCTGCTGAGGGCTGATTGCCTCGGCAGTGAGTCAGCTGCACTCCTCAGGCACACAGAGCAGGAGAAGAGTCCATTAGCTTGCAGCAGTTGTGGTTCCTTCCCATGCTGGAGTCCAGCCATCCTTTCTGTTCACTATAGAGTGACTTCGCAGGGCCTGTATGTTAATGCTCATCCCTGGAGGAAGTGCCACTGTCTGTTCCACTCGGAGATAACCCCAGGACCCTCTCCGCAAGGCACTGCTCCTCAGGCTGCTGTGAAAGTGCATTAGGAGAGGAGCTTCTCTAGGCTCTCAACTCCTCAGCTCATTGCCTGTCTGGCAGGAGCCACTGGGAATGACTTGGCTTGAACTGAACTGATGACTCCACGTTCTCTTGCAGCCTGCAGGTGGCTTCAATTGGAGTGAGTGGGGCCACAGCCCTGGCCGAGGCCTTACTGGCTAACAGGAGCCTCACAACGTTAGAGTAAGTATTCTGTAGCTGCCCGCCTCCTTCAGTCTCTATGGCCTGTTTCTCCTGGGCTGTCTCCAAGGGTCTCAGTCCATCAGCTTTGTCTTCTTTCCATCCTCTGATAGTTTCAGGCTTAAGTCAGGGCAGGAACTTTTAAGGCAGAAACCTTCTCCTCTGGCATATCTAAGCCTTGGTCTGGCCGACACACAGGCCTCCTTATCCCACTGCTCCTTAATCTCTTTTCTTCAGTGATTTGGGATCCACATGTTAGCTGGCTGTCATTTGGAGCTACAGATCTTAATCTCCCTTCTTTCTTTCCCGGTGTCCAATGCAGCTTGCGAGGAAACTCTATTGGTGTGCCTGGAGCCAAAGCGATGGCCAACGCATTGAAAGTAAACCGCAGTCTCCGCATTTTGAAGTAGGTAGTGACTACATTGGGGCAGACTCCCAAGGACTATTGCATTGTGAACTCCACTTGAGCAGAAGGTTGTTAAAGGGGCAAAGTCAAGCACACAGAATGCAGGAAGTGGCAGAATTCAAGTTGCCTGGGCAGCCTTGGTCAGGATACTCAACATATTTACACATTTGTCCTTTTCTCAGTGGAACTACAGGAGACACACAATGCAGGGTTTAGACTGTGGTAACCTACCAGAATCCAATGTAAACTAATCCCAGGGAAAAACCTGAAGTAGAACTACATTAGCATCAGTTGCACTGGTTTTTAGTGTTATGAGTCTGCATTTATCACAGGGTAGCCATTTGCCCAACATGAACTCTATTGCTGGCTCTCCTGCTTTCAGGGTAGTGTGCAGTGATCAAGCCAATGCAGAGAGAATAAGTGGCCACCTGTCCATCCCACCTTCCACAAATTTACAAAGCCAATGTAAATGATTGTGACGTTAATGTGTCACATTTTGGCTGTCTTGTTCATCTGCATAATGATGTCATCTTAATATTAGCACATAGATATTTTTTTCCATGGGATCTCTGCCTTATTCAATATATAGAACTTTCCCTGACTTTCCCTGGATCTTTTTTGAGGGTGCTGAAACTCTCTCAAAAAAAAAGAAAGAAAGAGAAAACTTCAGATGGATGGAAATTTCATTCCAAATGGTCAAAGTAGGGAAAAGTTAGAAGCAAATTCAGAAAAAAGTCTTACTTTGGGAAGTGTCAGGCAGCCTTAGCTAGGACCACTGCTCTTTACAATCACACACCAAGGGCATGTCATATATATGTGGGTGTAACTAGGTATTTACATTCATGTAAAAAAATAAGAGGCCTCCAACATAGAGCCTGACAGTCATGAACCACATTCAAATCTGGTGTCAAATTATCCTAGGAAAATGAGGGGCAAAACCACTGTCTGTCTACTCTAAATTCTGGACTCATGGAGAGTCCAGCCCCCAATCCCCAAAATGTTTCCAAATGTATTTTGTTCCTGTAACTAAGCAGTGACTTTCTCCTCTCCTGCTGGCTTCCTCTGCCATGACTGTTAGTGAAGGGACAATCTATCACAAGAGAACAACTGTGATGTTACTATCACTGGATTGTGAGATCACTGTGACTAACCCTGTATTAGGAGGGTGACACAGTCCAGTGAGAGAGGAAGCCAGGTCTGAAGGAGAAGATCCACATTCAATGACAAATCTGCAGAAGGAATGGGGGCAGCGGATACTGCATCTGATGACTTCAGAGTAAGCCCAGGTGTTTTTTGGCTTGATCCAGGTGTTTTGTGAGGAAACATTGGCTTGGTCCAAGTGTTTTTTGAGGAAATAAAAAGATTCCTAGTTTGTCAGGATGCAGTTTCCAGTCCAAGGCATAAGCCCAGAGGCCAGGCATTGTATTAAAGTCTGTCAGTCTCTTGGGGTACACATACATGAAGCAGCATTTACACCAACACACTCACACAGTCTCACCCTCACACCCCAACAACATGCTTATGCTCCCATGTATGTATTGCTATGCATGATCACACATACACATGCTCACATACATAGGATCACACTCATGCACGTGCACAATCATACATACACTTACAAACATAGACATGTGTATCCATGTACACGTGCGCACACACACACACACACACAGACTTGCACAGAGTTTACTACCAAGGCTACCCTGGGAGGGAGTCTCATGAGTCCCAGGCGTTGCTTTCTGACCATTCTTTGCCTCCTCTTCCTCCAGCCTGCAAGAGAATGCTTTAGGCATGGATGGAGCTATCTGCATTGCCACAGCACTGAAAGGGAACCATGGGCTGACTTATGTCAAGTAAGTGATAGCAGAGGGGCCAGCTAGCTGGTAAGGAAGCTGGGAGGTAGAGGAGACATGAGCAGTGGTCATGGGGAATGATTATGTCCTCACCTACTCTTGGTACCCAACCTGTAGCGCCCCGCTGTGAGCAGTGTGACGTGTCAGCTGGGAGCAACACTCCTTCACCCAAGCCCTAACAGTATAACAGGCCTTAGCTGCCTCTGTACACTGGGATGCGCCAACGTCTCTAGGACATCTGAGCTACTGGTCCCAGCTGGTGCCCCAAAACTCTGCCAAACAAACATAATGAATATTGGTCTCAAGCACTTGGAACCCTCCCAAAAGCCAAACACCCTTTGTAAGACCCATCAGTCTGTGCTGCACCACCCCTCAGCTCCTCCTGCTCTTACCTTGTCTCCCACCTTGTTGCCAGGAGTGTGGCACTGTTGACTCTGGTCCAAGGGAGATGCTGAGCTTTGGACTTCAGCAGCCAGTAAGTTCCAGTCTGTTTGAGGTTCAGGTCAGCTCCCATAATTGCCTTGGAATTGTGGTCAGGTGCTGATGGCACTCAGTCTGGCCCTGGCTCTGGCACTAGGTAGGGCAGGGTGGGAGAAAAGTGGAACTGGGCTTCCTAAATGGGCACTTGGCATTTACCAGAGGAGGTGGCCTTCCTGGAAAGTCTTATTCAGGCCTGACATGGTTTCAGCCTAGCGGAGCAGCCTGATTTTGGGGGAGGAGCCTTCCTCTCTGGGGCTGGCTTGTATGTTAAGAGCACCTCTGAGGCAGCAGTGGCCTGTGGGGCAGGAGATCAGCTTTCTGAGAACTCCCTGCTAGGGCAGCAGCCTGCAGGACAAGGGCCCCACTGACATCTTGGCTTGGCAGCAGGATGTGCACACGACCAGTCCCCAGGGCCTCTCCAGACTGCTCCACCCACCCACAATCCAGTACATTATCATAGCAGTGGCCCCAAATTTGGAGCAGACGAAGGGCACCTGGGCTGCAGGGGCTGTAGACTTAGAGTGATTAAGAGAAGGCTGTCTGGCCTGGAGTTGGGAACTAGACTGGAGGAGCTGGTGCGGGCTGGGGAAAATGTATGTCTCCCTTCTCCACCTCCAGTTCAGTGCTTGGCAGCAGTATTGGTGCTCATGGAGCCTTTGAAGCCATATAGTCCTTAGAGCCCTGGGTGGGAAGGCTGGGTTGAGGCAGGAGGGTGGGGAGTTGCAGTGGCCTGGCAGTGGGAGAGAGAGATCGGGGCAGGAGCAGAGCAGGGGGCAGTGACAGGGAGGTGGGAGCAGAGCATTCTCCTGAGCTCCCACTGGGCCCTGGTGCCTGTAAAGAGTTCACTGCTGGTTCTGCTGTTGTAGGCTCTGGTCAGGGCTTGCGGGTGTGGGGAGTTTGCTGAGCTGTGTGTACATGTCCATCCATTTTCCTCTCCAGCCTGCAGGGGAACCGAATTGGCCAGTCAGGAGCCAAGGTGATTGCTGACGCCATCCGAACAAATTCACCCAACTGTGTCGTGGAGATGTGACCACTGGCTGGAGCAAGGGTGCAGGGAGGCCTGGGGCCCAGGCAGAGACTCACTTGAGTGTGACTGGGTCACCCTTCCTGGGCACAGTGCATGGTTCCTGTGCATCTGCACGGGGCCTTAACCCACATGTCTGATAGATGGCTGCAGAGCCCACCTGGCTCTGGGGTGCTGTGTGATGGCCTGGGTGGAGGTGCACTCCAGCTGTGGCTGTGGCTGTGGCTGTGGAAGCTGCAGAAGGATCCAGATGGGTGGTATGAAGGGACCATCCTAGAATGTGTCTTTCTTAGCCCCACAGGAGTGACCCCCACCTCCACCCAGGCCCTGGAATGAGCTTCGGGGCAGCAGCAACAATCAGAACACCTCTGCACAGGAGGGGTGCTGTGCATGGACCTGAATGGGGACCAGGACCAACAATTCATTGACCCTATAACGAAGTTCCCTCTGTCCCATGATAGCAAACTTTCCTCTGACCTCCTCCATGCAGGCTGCTGTGAGAGTGTCTGTGCTTCACAGACACAGAGTTGCCTCCACAGACTTACAGCTTTGTCCAGGGTCTGTGCAGGGGAAGGCCTGAGGTCATGGGCAGCGAAGGCAATTCTGTGTTGCTGCAGAAGAAGACATTATCGTAGCACAGCCTTCAGGACAGGGCTGGCAGTGCCAGACACGGCGTACCTGGAGCGTGGAGGTTCTCTGCCTCCTGACACCACGCAAGGCAAGGAGAGACACAGCCGAGCAGAAGATGGGACTTGTTCATAGCATCGTGGTTGCTGCACAGAATGCTCTGGTGAGAGGAGACCCATCACTCCTGTTGCCCAGCCCAGCAGCTTGGTGCATTTAACTCCTGGTCACCTCATGTGGATGGACCAGGCCTATATCGGCTCTGAAAATGTGCTGCTTTCCCTGAAGCAGTTGCCAAAACTGAGTCCTGCTGCAGAGGGTCTCTGACAGGACGCCTCTTTCTTCCAGAAGCTTGTACTGATCACAGAGTGACTTAGGACTGTAAATGTCACCAGGCAGGGGCCCTGCATTGCTACAGACACCTTGGAGGCTGTTGAATTAGTAAACAGCAATGATGGGTGTCTTGCACCTACTGGTCACTTGGTTTTCAGTGTGGGAAGGAGTGTGGGTGGATGATGCGCAGCTCAGGGTAGAAGTTATAGCTGCATTTCTGAAGAAGCAGAGATGCAGCTCTCCAGCAAGGGGGGAAAGAGCAAGGTAGGATGTGAAGGGGGCTGGTGACTGCTAGGGAGCAAAGAGCAGCGTAGGCAGGTGGTTCCAGCCCATTTTAAGTCTGCACGGGTGGATCCTGCTTCTGGCAGTTCCTAGTGGAAAAGTTCTGCCACTCAAGCAGGAGTCTCTAAGCCAGACTGAGTCGGTGCCCATTGGCTGGTTTCTCTTCCTGGGAAGGGTGTTCATGCATTACAGGCTGGGCTCCTGGGTGCTGTTCTGCCTCTGGTGCTGCTGTGCGGCATCGTCTCAGGCCAGTCAATGGGACCTTTGTGTTCTCAGCTTCCCGCTGCCTTGGTGAATTGGTGGGAGGGTGGATCCTGTGAGGGGAGGCGCTGGAGGAGGGGACAGCGTTAACAGCAGGTCATGTTTGCACTTGTTGTGCTGAGTTGATGCTGATTGGCAAACAACAGAGTGAAGGGTTGAAGGGGCATGCTCAAGGACTGCCCGCTTGCAAGTCTGTCATATCCCCTGGCCTGCCTCTCCTCACTATGGCCCACAGCCTGAAGAAGAAGGCGGCTCTCCTGCTGTTCACAGAGCAGCAAATATCACAGGGAGCCCCAGGCTGGTCCTGTTTGGAACGTGGGTATATAGAGGGTGCTAATCACAGGCTGTGCAAGCAGCTTCCTGCTAGTGGAGCTGTCCAGAGACTTCTCCTGTGCAGCTCTTTGTGAAATGCAAGGGCCTGCGTGGAGGGCCCGTCCTGTGTTCTGTGCAAGAGGCAGGGAAGCCTCCCAGTGCTGGGCCTGGCAGGCTGCTGGGGAACATCCCCAGCTGCTGCACCAGTGCCTGACCATGCTACTGGGCCAGGCACTGTTGAGCTGCATGGCTGTGCCCAGCAGTGGTGTAACTGGGGGTGAGGGGTGGGGCCAGGCAGGACAGCAGTGACAGTGGTGGCAGCAGCCTTCAGCATGATGGGAAACTGCACCAAGGGAAGCAGCAGCAGCCAGGGGCTTCTGAGTCTTTGGCGATACTCTTCCCTGCTCA